GATTAAAAATAACCCGGGAATTGAATTACAATGCATAGGACATTTTAGATTATTATTTGGACTTTTAAGTTGCAATAATTTCAAGTTGATTCAGAGGAGCGGACTCGAAGTCATTAGCAATGTCACAAAGAATCAAGAATGCGTGGACGATATTGCGGCGAATGATGTTGTAGTACATTTGTTATTAGCTTTAAATACTCTGGTGGAGTGTCAACTACTTATACTAGAAACTTTGTATGCTTTGATGAGTTCCACGAAGATCGTAAAAGATGCTTTGTGTAAAGGTAACGAAGAAACATGAACGACGTTTTGCATTACACATTTTTTCCACATTATTGCTTTAGAATAAACTTTATGAAAATTTTAGGAGCTGTCGTATACGTTCTTGATCTATTCTGTAATTCAAATAATACGCAAATACGTGAAGCAGCCGCAGAACTGCTTGCTAAAATGTCGTCTGATAAGTTAGCTGGACCGAAAGTGAAACTGGATTTGTCTAAATTTCTACCTAGATTATTTAGCGAAGCTATTCGGGATGCTCCAAAACAGTGTGTGCATATGTTTGAAACGAGACACGAAAATCCTGAATTAATTTGGGATGACAATGCCAAAGCTACAGTATCGAGGATTGTTGCTGAATTGAAAGATGAGTATGTAAACAATTTATTAAAGTGTAAGCAATTTTTTCAATTACGTCGACTCATGACTACCTATAATTCTTTCAGATATTACGCGTTACAAAGACGAAATCCTAATGCAATATTAAAATTACCTGATACTCAAAGTAACATCGATATCGCAACAAATGAACCTATAGTAGGAGGTGTGTATCTTAGATTGTTTATAGCCAGTCCCGCGTGGGCTCTTAGGAAACCTAAAGAATTTTTAAGTGAACTCATGGATGCAACATTGACACTTATGTCCAGGGATAAAACTGATGTAAGTATAGAATTCGTTTTTAATCTGTTACGAACATAGAACATGTTTCATTTAGTAATACTTGTAAATAGCCGGATATGTTGGAATTAACAACACAAGCACTAGTATGCTTACTCCAAGCACAACCAAATTTAGCAGATCAAGTTCCATCATTAGGTCATATACCTAGACTTTGCCGACAAATGGCACTGCAAAATAATCAACCATCCGTGTACAAAACAGCAATATTAATACTTCATCAATTAGCAACAAGTGAAGTGAGTTTCATTATTTTTCTTTTTTATAAAATATTTATCAATATTTAATACTAGTCATATTAAACTTTGGTTATATTTCTTTCATATCTTTCAGATTTGTATATCATCTATTTGTCAAACAGAATGCATAAGCCCATTAAAGCATGCTATGCAATCTAGGCGAGATATGATTGCAGTAGCGTGTGAAACATTAAATAGGTTATTTGCAACTAACGAGGATAGACTTATAAAACAGGTAGGTAGAATTTCGCTTATCCACTAATACCACTGTTACAAATTCAAGAACTAATGTTAATTGTTGGGATTAGGCTCTGGATGCTGAAATGGTACCTTATTTGTTGAATATACTAGAAGGTCGGTTAGATGTGATTGAAAATCCTGCAACAACCAAAGCTCAAATAGTCAAAGCTTTGAAAGCAATGACCAGAAGTTTGTTGTTAGGCGAAAAAGTAAATGCAATACTGGAAAAGTCAAGTGTCTGGGCGGAATATAAGGATCAGCGGCACGATCTATTCATTTCTAGTTCTAACAATTCTGGTTATCTTACCGGTAAGACATGCATGTGAATTATTTTTCGTGTTTATAATACATTTGAACGTAAATCATAATATATCTAGCTGGAACGCCGGTGTCTGCTGGTTATTTAACGGCTGGTCCAAGTACCACACTAACAACTGGCCCACCTCCAGTCGACAAAGAAGACAGTTTAATTAATAGAAATGATAGTATCTGATATAGGTAGCATCCCAAGTAAAGAAAAAGGAACAGGCAGCAAGAATGCCAATTCTGAAAATTCGTATCGGTAAACCAATATCGATATAAAGACTACATTGCCTGTGATTTTTGGCTCCTTAAAATAAGGAATATATCAATCGAATAATGTTTTTGTTGAATTTACATTTATATTAAGATTATCATGATACAATGATACTTTTTATTGTGCTATATAGACAGGTTATATAATTACGTAAGATATGTCATTCTTTACAGCGATGTCAGAGTGTGGCAAAAGATAGTATTCAATGAAAGTCTATTATTAAACAAATTTTTCTAGGAAAAAATGTCCCTCGAACAAAAATCTCCCTCGTCGATTCTAAAGTTTTTCTAGACAACGTTTCATTTTGTACTTAGTTACAAATCTTCCACGATTTTTCATGTTATTAACACAAGCGAACCTACATTCCTGGCAAACGAAGGAATAATACGTTCGGTGTTTAGCATTGTTGCTGTATCCAAGTGTGATTAGTACTCCTTGGAAAGCTTTTTAAATACATACAAATAAATGCAATATATATTTGGTCCAACTTTTAACTGATCAGAGTCCCATGTGTCAAAAAAATTTTATTATTTTAATCACCATCACCATTACATAAACACATTAAATATATACTTAATAATGCTGCTTCACGAACTAATCGCATTTTTCGATATGGCAAGATGCTTTCACTTTTTTTTCAACACATTACGGAATTCACGAACGCTTAAGTTTGTAACATAAAACCATAAATACATTACTTCCTTTCGTATTTTGAAGGGTAAAAACACATTATACTATAAACACGGTTTATGGTTACTTTTTTCTCACGATAATTTTACATTCATTATTTTTTCAACGAGTTTTATAAGAAAACAACACAAAGATTACTAATGTATAGCGAACGGATCAAACAATTATAAGAAATTTTAGACGAATATAATCTTACAAAAGAGTTGGATACACCTTTTAAAACGATATTCGCTCATTGTTTCGATATAATGTATGTTCTTTTCTCTTAAAATATTATATATATATACAGAATTTTCCACCTAACTTTGTTACCTGAAATATCGTGACTATAATTAAAATTTCATAAAAATGTTTCCAACAAAAGTTGCATAGTTTTGTGCATAGGCTAGCGTATAATAAGGAGAGTTTTACTCTTTTGGGAAGGGTTAATGAGATAAGAAGGTCAACTTTATTTTTTTCAAGTACAAATTCAACAGCCTACAACACAAGTGCTTCAAAATCACCAAAGGTCGTATAAACAAAATTTTGTCTAATTTTCGGTGTTAATGCGAAAAATATTTTGTGTAATCTTCAATTCTTGAGAACGCTTCATTTCTCTATCAACATGTTTCTAAGATCTTTGGTATCCTTGAAGGACTTACCGTCGTAGATCGTTGAATTCGTTTCTTGAAGTGACTATCATGTATAGAAAAATAAAATATAGCGTTCCATTTAAAAAAACAAAGTTGACTTCATCTCATTAATGCTTTCCAATAGAATGAAACAATTGTTTCTATACGTTAGCCTATACACAAAACTATGCAAAAAAATTTTATAAAACTTGAATTATAGCAGAAATATTTCAAGTGATAAAGTTAAGTGAAACACCCTGTATGTATATATATGTATATATATATATACACACACACGCAGTTACTCCCAAAAATATTCGAACACTAACAAAAGGACTATTAAACACGACGCAGGCAAAAATATTCATAATATGTAAGATATAAAAATTATACTATGAATATTCAAAACATTCATTCTTGCTAAATGTCCGAATATTTGTGTAACATAGTAATTGGACAGAATTCCAATTAATTTGTATTGCAGTGTCATGTAGGAAAATGCATTAAACTAACGATACGTAATTCTAAAGTGACGTTTCATAACGAAAAAGCATCAACCCGATCATTTTACAATTAACCAAAATACATCGCTCGAAAGGCAAGCTTATATGTATAGCGTCCGAATATTTTTGGTAGTAACTGTACATCCGTATACATATATTGTACTTTGTTATATAGATCGTTTTACGTACGCTTAAGATCGAAAAAAGCGCTAAAACTACTTGGTGATACTAAACGAGGATCTATCGAATGGAGTAGATTCCATGGGTAGGCAGTTCCTCTTTTTCATATCAATTTCTAGGATTCTAACAAAACCGATAATTCAGCGAGGACGAGTGAACATTCTTAGAGCTTAGAGATACAAAAACAGAATAAAAGAAACACGCAACGCGTTGTTCTTCACTTGCCATCCACCAATATTGTAATACACTTTTTGCTACTTTTGGATCGACGGCTCGAGCGTTCACGGTATTAAGAATAAAAGAGAAGAAGCGAAGAAATGAAAAATTCAAGAACGATAGTTCCTCTGGTAGTAAGAGCATATTTGTGCCTGTTAGACGCAGCATAGATGTTTCTATATTTGTAATTCCATAAGAAACGCGGATAATTGAGTTACCTGTTAAAATGGAAAAAGCCGTTTTCGGCATAGATTGTACACGAAATAAAATTTGCATAGACAAGACCGTTTCGTTCTCGCATGCTCGACTCGTCGATCGATCTTTCTTTTTGGAGAAGAGAAGAGAAAGCAAAGTGCTTAGTTAGATAAAAAAAAAAGAAAGAAAAAGAAGAAAAAAAAAGAGAAACGATCGAATGGTCGATCAGAATGAAATACAAAAGTGAAAAATGAAAAATTGGCATAGCTCGGTGTGCTGTGTATAATACTGTTACTGACAGTCGGGTAACTATGTGAACAAATACGGGAGAGCCTTAGTTATTTTTATGTATTTGCGCCTGAGTTTTTAAGGTCGACAGTAAGATATTGTACATTACACATATATATGTATATATATGTGTGTATATATATATATATATGAAAGAAGTTATACCACAGATTATTGTACGTATAATTAGAAAATAAACGATTTTGCACATGGTACAATGAACGATAATCGACTGTAAAATGATGCAATTTTTTAATGTATTTATGATGTATGTGAACATTGTTCAACTAATGGATCGGAAATTTTATTTTTCGGATATACGATACTGTTCTTGAGCCTCGTATAGGATTTCGTCGATGTTCAAATACTTATTGCCGGAATGGTAAGAAAGTAACTTGTCCAAACCCTCCTTCAATTGAGTGAACGTAGGTCTACTTTGTGGTCGTACGTTCCAGCATGAAAACATGATGTTATATCTGTAACAAATCAGATCAATCTTCATTTATCTCTTTCCTTGATTATTCCAACAATTATCAATCGCATAGAATATTTGTTTTTAATGAAAATTTCTATTTGTAATTTGAAAAGAAACTTCACAGCTGGTATTTTAAACGAACAAATTAGCTTGAAATTTTTACGTACAGTTCTATACTACAATTCAAAGGTTGTTCCATTCTGTAACCAGATTTTAAAAGCTTCAAGACTGCATTACTAGAAATTTCAGGATACGGCAGAGCACCCATTGTTACAATTTCCCATAACAAAATACCAAAGGACCATCTATAATACAAACGAATACAAGATTTAACATTACTATCAGAAGTATTGATGTTTATTCAGATGTAAGTGTAAAGATGTAATTAAAATGCAAAGTCAATTTACTAAATCGCACTTTGAAATATTTATTATAACAAAATTTCACCAGAGAACTTACACGTCGCTGTAAGTTGTGTAAATTTGATGTGTTAGAGCTTCGATCGCCATCCATTTTAACGGCAACTTGCCGTCTCCTTTCTTTCTGTATAAATTTTCTTGGTAAACGTCGCGACTCAGACCGAAATCTGAGATTTTCACAATTCTATCCGCGCATACCAATATATTTCGTGCAGCCAAGTCACGATGTACTATTCGTTTCGATGATAAAAATTCCTGCAAGTCGTTTGTTAGAACATTGATCATCCAGTTAGATACATTAAATTGCCTGATTAAATATTAAACATGCAACTTTCTGTTTAACACATGTGATCTGTACAAGTAATAAACGTAAGTATTTCTAAATCATCGTGTTTCTAGTTTCTATTATTGTAAATTAAAACAAAAAAATTGCAACGATACAGGTAATTAAAAGAAACGAATGTTTTACCATTCCTGTGGTGATTTGCCTTGCAAAATTTAGCAAATCGTTTGCTGTAACGATTTCCGTATACTGTGCTATATCTAGAAAAGAAAAAGAAAATAATTAGTATGTTAAAATTGTGACAGAAAGTAATGAAAATTTTACATCTTCTGCATAATATAAATTGCAATATTAAACGTACGAAAAGTATAGTAAAATACATTATTAAGTAAAGGCAAATTTTTTATGATAAAATTAATTTAAAATATTATAATTACCTTGTTGAATGTCGTAACAACGGTTCGCAATAATATTAATATTTTGATAATTTCGCTCCTTTCCACCTAATTAACATGTGAAAGATGAAAATGTATTCCGCTAGGATGTTGATTAATTCGTCATTTTAAATGATTCATGTATGTGTAAATAATAAATACCAGAATTGTTCGAAATACACTCTATGCCATTGGCAGTGAACGAAACTGCGTCAAGTTTGAAACGTGCTCTACGATTAAATGCAATGCTTACTGCATTTTGCCATATCTGAAAATTCATAATACAATTGCACGAATTTACTTTCAGTAAGATTATAGTAATTTCTCAGCATCCATAAAAAAAATTCATCTCCTGCTTACTGCAATAAGTCGATAAAGTAAGCGAAATATATTGGTCTTGATAATTAAAAATGATTTTCGTATACTCAGTTCGAAAAAAGAAATATTGCACGTTGTATCAGGCATTTATTATGAACACTGTGAAATTATCGGAAGTGCCTAAGAAATCATGGCGGCTGTTACAGTGAACAATCTGTACAATTAAAGAAACTAATAATATAAATTCTTTATTAGTTACTCACCGTTCTTAGATACGTTTGCAAATCTCCTTTGCAACAATATTCTATTACCAACACTGGCTTATTATACATGTTACAAAAACCTATTAACGATACTATGTTCGGATGTTGACCGACGAATTTCATAATCAATATCTCCTTATGAAAATTCTGCAAATCTTCTTTGCCTGGGTTGTCTGTTATGTAACATTTAAATTTCACATCATTACCCAAAAAACAAACATTACAGCCTATCAAAAAAATCGAAAATCGAAATTTCTGCCTTTATAGAATTGCTTTTATTAAATTTATTTCGATATAGTTATGTCGCAAATAAAACTAGTTTTTATATTAAAACAAAAAATAATAATTGCCTTAGAAACAAACCATTCGATCTACCTTTGAGCATTTTAACTGCTACCTCAGTAATATTGTTAGATTTATGTTGCAACGATCCCAATCTTACGACTCCATAAGCTCCGCTACCAAGAACGCCTTTAAGCTTTAACAATTTTGGGCACAATTCGTACTCGTGTGTTAATGTCAGTGCAATGGGATCGTTGGTCTCGGAATCGTAATTTTGTGACAGCAATTTTTTAGTGATTTCTATAGGCAGATCCTTCTGATTGTGATCCTAAAAACAGGGGTTTAAAGAATTTTATAAATTTTTACTAAGATTATTTTGTAAAATAATAAATATTTAATTAAAATCCTATTTATTATCAAAATTGACATTATAACATTACCTTGAAACGAGTTCTTACCTCAAAACGACCACACTCCATAAAAAATTTCTTATTCCTCTGTTTGTAATATCGCGAGAAAATCATCCCAGCTAGTACGACGATTGTGATTGATAATGTGGTAATTCCAATAATAACTTCACGATTTATGGCTGTGCAGAAAAACATGCATGAGACATATTACAGCTGCTTTGTCAATCGTAAATTCATTTTCTTTGTAATTATTTGCACAGTATGTGTTTGTGAACGTGTGCAAATTTTAAACAAATTATTCTATTTCAACAATGAGATATTTTTCGAATTTACCGTGTTAATATAAAATAATGAAAATATTACGAAACGATGATAATTTACAAAAACAATTTCATTTTCATTTATTTCTTTTCATTTTTTCCTTTCGTTTTACATTCTTAAGAAAGTAACGGATTCGATAGCTTCGAAAATATGCGAAGGCAATAGCAATATTGAAAAAATAATTCGTCTATCAATTTAGTAAGATATTAAGCGCATTATAATAAAGACATACTTGTTTGTTCACTAATGAAATTTTCAATAGCCACTGGTAAACTTATTCCGCCTAATGATTCAGCAATAATTCTCACTTTGTATTTAGGTCCAAGATTTAAATTCGAAATGTAAACCTCGGTTCTATTCTATAACACACATAGACCACTTGTTATTAAAAACTATTTACGATATTTGAAGAAAAGTAGAGGAAAAAAAGAAAGAGATTGAAAATAATTTCGATTAATTTTGAATAACAATATACATACATATATATGAATGTTTCTTGTATTTAACTTACACCAGGTACGCTAAAAGAATAAACCTGATCGTCTCCAGGCGAATCGATTTCTATCGTGTAACTGTCTGGTTCTTGCAACGATTTATTCCAATAAATCTTAAGTTCGTAGAATTCTCCGTTATAAGTGCATTCAGCCCGTAAGCCTTTCACGCTTTCTGGAGCTGAAGCGTGCAGAACTCGCATTATAGTCGAAATTTGTTAAAATAAAAAAAAAAACGGCCTCACAGTACTTCTAATTAAACTGATTATTTTGTTTTCTTTTTTCAAATTTTACTTTCACTCGTTTCTAACTGGTCGTCAATTCTGAACTGGACACAGATAATCAACCCTTTCGCTGCGACAGATTTTCCGAAAGGGTTGATAAATTTTCACACAAACTCACCGCATGTCGTCAAATCGTTACAATACTCTAGGCAGCTAAATGTATGAAATTTGAAAGCAGTCGCAGAACTAGATTCAGTGTCGCCGTTAAGGGATGAAATGGTCACGTTGTGAGTTCGACTGAATTTCAAATCGTTTAACTCGAACCTAAACACAGGCTTCTAAAAAAAAAAAAGAAAAAAAATTAAAATAAATAAATTAACAGCAAAGTTTCGTTACGAATCATTGAATTATTATTCACTGATTTCTTGCAGTATTTGCTTATTATTATTATTATTATTATTACCTGTGCTACGTTAAAGTTCCACAAATCGTGTTCCTCGCCCCAGGATAACACGTTATAATAGCAACTACGATCTGAAATTTTGGTCGTTCGCATAAAATTCATGAAAATCTTACGAACGTTGAAAAAAATCACACGAAAATAACAGAGTAAAACGGAAATAACTTTGCAAAATAGTATGAAATTTAGAAACTAGCAAATAGAAAAGTTCGATCCATTCGTCGTTTACAATTGTGTCGTTATACCTTCTGCAGGTTCAAAAGCAACCTCTGCACGCAGGTTACATTTATCCATCTTCTCCGCCTCTAGCTTTAACAATGTTATACTTTTCACAGGCAACGGTCTGTAATCGGCTGAAAATATTACGAAACGTAAGATAGAAAACAATACGAGTGATAGAAATTTGGAAGATTGTTCTTTCTGAACAATTGTATACCAATTTTACAAAAATAAACATCGTTGATGTTAATTCAGAGAATTGAGTTACTTTTTCCGTTCTTTTTTTCTGTTAGGAAAGTCATGTAATCGAACGATCAGAAATGAAGATCAGCGACATGTCTTGTTTGATTACTATAAATCCATTCGTCACAGTAGCGGCAGATAAAAATTGTATCGTACGCTAATCGAGGAATATAAGTATGATCGTATTCTTCGTCGTTATTTTTTTTTTTTTTTGCTTTGATTAGTCGTTGCGTCGTAAAGTACGGGGGAAATTTATAAATAGATCAGTGACTTTAATATAAATATTTATAACATTGTGCAAATATTCATGGTAAAATGATGAATTACCTTCGTAAGTTGTGAACCACTCGGATGTTTCCGGTCGCGAAATTCCTTCTTTGGTAAAATTATACAAACGATATCGATATTTGATACCTGGTGTTAAATTCGTAAATGTTGCTATACTTCCTTTGATCTATAAGATATACACAAGTGTCGTTTAGTTATCACAATTCTTTTGTACGCATTAATACGTGAAAGAATGATCGAAGAAGATGTGAACAATGATAGGGACAAGTCGATGTACAAATAAATTTTATTCCACTAAATACGAGTAACGAGCAAACACTTGCGATAAATTAATGTAGATTAATATAGAGCTCTTTAGTTGCTGCCTCTTAATTTCCATAACAAAATGTATCAGCGTTAGGAAATTAAGTACGTATCTCTATTAGAACTAGCTTTTCACACAGTAATAATGGAAATAAATGAAAACCTTCTCGCAGATTTTCGATCGCGGCCACGAAATATCTCGTCTCAAGGTTTGTTAAATTCAAATTTGCCGCCTTTGAAATTTCTCTTACCGCGGAAGCGCGCAAAGATAAAACATCGAGGATTAAATCGAGGCGATGGTGTGCCGAAAGCGCGACGCGAGTAAATATTCGAAACGCCTACAGCCGCGAAGGACGCGGCGCGGGAAAATATTCGAACCACCTATAGGCGCGAAGGACGCGGCGCGGGAAAGTATTCGAACCGTCCACAGGCGCCGACAGCAGTGAAAGGGTTGACAAGCATGGGCGTAACAATCGTTCGTTTCGTTTTCAAATACAGTTGAATAAGATCCTTTATTTATTTTAACGATTACTGCATATTCTGAAAAAAAATTTCGCACGCTGTAAAAGTATACGAATTTTCAAGCATTTCAAGTATCCAAATAAGCTTGTATTAATCTTATTAATCACGTGCGAAGTATTTATTTTTTTTCAATCTGCGAGTTCTGTTTGCCATTACTTGAGATGAAATTCACAGCAGGGAAACGAAAGTTGTGATGAAAAGTTGTTTACCGTTTTAGTGACATTCGAGGAAGAATTGGAGACACTCTGCTCGATAATGTACATTCCAGGATTGAATTTGATCATCATCACGTGCCCACCGGTGCAATGAAGATCTACATCAGCTTCTGTGTCTTCGTCCACTTGTGGATAATCTGTACGTAAGAGTCTCTTTTAAATAGATTATTCGTCTAAATGTTTCGTTTGTGCAATTCAACGAAAATCGTCAAACGTATTTGTGAAAATTTCCTCGATCTGACTTGAAATCTGTTTAGCTTTTGTAAAACGACTTCTTGCACTCTACTGCAGTAACTCTTTTCTCCTTATCAAGATTACAAGATGTATCCAAACAATCGAAGGTCGCATAAAATACTCTGCCCGTATCTCTTCGCGAAGTATTTTCAATTGAATTTAACCGCGACAGAAAAAAACTTGCGACAGAAATTGCGTTTAAGATTTATTTCTGAAGGCAATTGTTGCGTCCCAAGGCAAACTGTTCAATTTTTATTTTATTCTATTGTTCTATTATTTTTCTATTTTTATTCCATTCTATCGTTCTATTTTTATTTTATTTTATTCAGAGTGCTTCCCCTTTGAAAATTTCTCGTTTGTCAAATCTTCTTTTACCCAAATGGCCAAAAAGTGTTTCACGAACGCAGAAATTCTACGTTTCTGTAGGCCCCTTTCATATGGCAACTCGTAAACACACGCGATATTTCTTTATCGAACGAATTATTAATTTTTCGATCATCTACCTCTAATATCTTCGTAGGTGCACATTTGTAACTGCATCAATGCACAAAATGCGTAAAAGTAATGGATAAATTTAAACTATGTAACACCGTTTAATTTTTTTCCCATTTCTAACTGTTTTAAAGAATACAATTCAGCCCAGTTTTGTGAAACACCCTGTGTGTGATATTTTAATACGAATTATTAACGGCGTGTTAGACAATAGCAAACGGAAATTATTATAAATATTATTATATATTATTATAAACGGACAACCGAACGTTCTTTATATTTTTAATACCAATCGATATGAAAACACATTTAAATAATCGTTACATTAGTTAAAAAATATTCGTCTGTTAATCGAGATGTCCGAAAATCTTCTAAATTCGATTACACTAAGAAATTAGATAGTTTGTTAATATCTGACTCTGTTGTAACACAGAATCGACTCCCAATTTTACAAATTTCAATACATAATTAAAGAACTTACTAAATTCGTCTAGGAAATCATCACAAACATCCTCACAGTGGTTCTGAAAATCATCACATTTCATTATCAGTAAAACTATCTCCATGCTGAAGTGTAAAAAATTCATTTAAACTTATCGCTTCTATGTTTCGCACATTCATAAATGGAAATTTGCATGAAATTAAAAATACACGAGGGTGGTTCAATAAAGGAAAAGACAAACGGCTGTTGTTTCAATGTGATTTATTCAACGAATCTCACAATTTACCATTTTATTTTTTTCTTTTACCATTGACGAGTTGAAATAGCAGACGAGGCAAGTGACAGAAATGAAGAGACATGTGGTGTTTGTTCGTTTTGGCTCTTAAATCGTTTATCACTCGAACGCTATGGAATTATCGACGATTTTTAAGGAAAATAAATATCCACAAGGACTTCTGGTACTTTCGTCATTTTTCAACCTTAACGAAAATAGCACTTACGATTTTAACTCTGCCTTAAGATATCTTTAAAGGCTGAGATAAATTATTCTAGCACTTGCAGCGTTTATCAACGTATTAAGCATGAAATTAACATCCTTTTCTATTAAGAAAATAAATTGTTATTATTAAATAAACTGGTAAACAGCGTTTTCAAGCGTGTTAAGCAAGGAATTTACGCCCTTGTCCACTAAGATTGCAAATTTTTATTTTTAAATATAGATAATTTTAGCATTCTAGCATTCGCGTCGTTTACCACGTCAACTCCTCGATTACACACTTGTCTCGTCACTTTACTACCATTTTTATGCCTGCAGCAAAGAATTCTTTGTCTCGAAGTCTGAACCAATTTTCGACATTTCCCTGCACATCTTCTTTACCGTGAAACCTAACTCGCGATGACTCCTCGAGGAGTCCAGATAAAAAGAAATCTAACGAGGAGAGACCTGAACTATAAAAAGAACATGGGAGAACCCTCTCGTCTTGATTTTTGCAATTTTTCAATTTATACGTTGTCGAACGTCTGTTTTAAATTGGTGACAAAAACGCTTCTGATCTATTAAGTATAGAAATGAATTCTCTCCTATTTTTGAACGCAATCAAAGTTTTGTTTAAATGAATGAAACCAGACTTTTCTGGCATTTTATTTAAGAAGAGTGAAAACAGATCGATCGTCGAAATAATTTCTATTATTGTTTACGAACTTTTACCATTTTTCTGGCATTATGCAAACGCCATCGCGAAGGAAACTCCGTGATTTCGGATCAATTATGCGAATCCGGTCGGGAAAAAATTCATTTCCACACCTGATAAACACTTGTTGAACACAGAACTCTTGGTCGGTTCGTATCTTGAACTATCTACGCGCGTAGAATTAAAAACAAGCCGAACACGTAAGCGCAAACGTCAAATCGAAGGAAAACACCGATCGTCGCATGCTTAATTTGTAATTATATAACGTTCTGCCAGACGATGCAGTTGGAATCGTTTGATCTTTAATCGGTACAATTCCATTGTACGTTGCAGGTCGATGAGAGAAATGTAAAGGTAAGCGTAAAACAAAGAGGATCCGAAGAATTTTCCGCGAAACGGTTCATTAATTTCTAATGAAAGTCAAAGCTACGAGACCTGGTTGTGTTAATCAATTCGAACAGTTTTACGGTAGCCGCGAATTTAGGTTACGTTAGGTATTCAAATGAGATTTAAGAGTTTTACTTCTGTATCTATATCAGAGCTGCTTTCGGGAATAGGCGAAAATAATAATTTATTCACTTGTTTGACACCGTTCTGATCGATTTTACGTGCAACGATGTCAGTGATTCGTTCATTTTTAGAGGAAGAACGTAGTTTATTCGCTGTTTTCCTTCTCCGCAGGTGAATTTATAGCTGAGCTTCGACTGCTCGGACGAAAAGATTTCAGTAGAAGAAAAGGTTTGTTAAGAAGCCTCTAAAGTATTTATACGATTAGAAATAATAAATATAATTTTAGAAGTTTGTAAATATATCAATTAATCGATATTTCTCTCGTTCGTTTCTCAAAAATCCTGATTTTTGGTTAGCTTGTGATTGAGTATCTTTCGATTTCCACATTTCTAACTTGCCGTATGCAAATCATTTTTCTTTTTATACGTGTACAATATATTTAATATTTTCCAAATTTCATATGTTCTAATTTAATAATTATGGTTCTTTGCAAGAGAGAGTTCTGTTATTTTTAAAGAAAAGTTAAATCACCCCGAGTTGGTACGACAAATGTCTGATTTTCATTGCTTTTGTAAAGATTGTAAAATCGGAGACTTTAATTCCGATATTATCGACTGAAGGTACTTCTACGCTATAATTACAACCCCCGATAAGTTATATGCATAAAGTATGAAAATACAGTTCACTCGAATAGTAAAGATTTCAATAATGTCTACAACAAACGTTAAAAATCTCTGAGATCATTCTGTACGCTCGAGGACCCCAGATTTCGACAGCAATTTTTTAAAATATTATACTTCACTACTAGAGTTACAATACCAACTTAACTTCTCACGTATTGTCGAAGCTTCGGGATAAGAATTTTCCTTCATTTCTACAACAAACATTCAATATCTCAGAGATCGTTATATCAGGTCGTCGATAATTTAACGAAAATCCAAGGAACTACTGAAACAATGCCATAACAATCTTACAAAAACGAAAAAGATAGAAGAAAATTGTGAAATAAGAAGGCGTTTACATTTGTTTTTACCAACTTCAAAGATTCTTTAGAAATATCGATCCAAATTATAAAATTCGACACGAACTTACGGGATGACCCAATAGATCCTAAAACTCCATTTTCAACAAAAATTTTCTAAAATACTCAACGACCGAAGAATACAAACAATTTTTACACCTAAATTTATCAAATATCTCTCCTTTAATTTTCCAAATTTGACCAAAATTTCCTTTAAAATTCCGCGTATGACGATTTAATAACGTAAAATCGTGACGAAATGAAAAGCTAACAAGGGGAATCGCAGAACGGCGAAAGGGGAAGAAGAAGAAAACGAAAGGGGTTAGATGAAACTTATACGATTCGTCTCATGAGCCTATGCGTCTCTGTCGTTTCACGCTGATTTCATACCGTGTGCAGGTATATTTGATACATTTATATATGTTAAGCGTATACGAAGCGCAAGAAAATCTGATCAAATTCGCGCATACGATATTACGTCTAGAAACATCCGTTACCGGAATTTGCAATGCGTTCCAAACACGTTGCCGACTTTTTCCCTCTCTGTGTTCCACCTTAAAAAGAACAGAAAGATGGAAGGCAAGGGAATGTGTTGTTCCGGTTAAAATCGACGTTACCGAGTGACCTTTGATCGGTAACAAATCAGATCGCGATGCTTGCTGACGCATCGACCTCCTCGAAATCGTGAAACTTTCGAACTTCTTTCCTTACTTCGACGATTTTTTTTTTTTTTATGGTCAATGTGATTCGAACAATTCGACGTTTCAGAGAGGAAAATGTCACTTGATTTGTCACGTTTCGTCGATTTTTTCGAGATGTGATCGAAGACGCTAACCTTGATTTTATTTCTGCTTCTTTTTAACACTTTATATATAACGCTTGCGCGACCAAAGTCATGCAGGCATTTATATCCATATTTTTCAAGGCTCGTTTCTGTTGTTCATTGTTGCAATTTCTTTTGTAATAATTAGTAATTCTTGTTTCTCCTATCGAAATGTTAAATTGTAATTAACCGTAATTTTTCTTTTTGTGAAGAAGAATAATTGGATTTACTGAGGGTTAGGTTAGGTATTAATTATGTGCTTGTTGGGAAATGTGAACATGGGAGTGTTGTGATGCAGAAATCAATGTGAGAATAAAAATTTGAGTGTTTTCTAGTTACTTAGAGGAAATAGGAATTTTAACTTTACGAAATATCATTGGTCTGGTAAATTTTTAAGTGTCGAATTTAAATTAACTTTTCATTACCAACAAATGGTCTGAAAATTTTCACGAAAAATCCAAATGAATGTGTCGAATATAAATCGAATATAAATTTGCGTGTTGCTTTAGTTACTTACAGAAAACAGGAATTTCAAATTCTCAAAATATCATAATGAACAAAAATCGTAACAATTACCAACGTTCTTAAAATTTTCACCAAAAATCCCGATTCAATCAGCGAAACGCAAGATTTTTATGTCACGTGCACCGAGTCGCTGTCAAACGCACACGTGCATACTTAAATATTCACAGCCAAATTGCTGCTACAATAATATTATTCATCTCGTGACTCTGTTTTGCACTGTACTTCCTTCGACATATTCGCCAATCGATGCGTGTAATTATATTTATACAGTTGTCACAACACCATGATCATCTAGAACGCGATCGATGACGACGAATATGTTCAATAACGCGTTGAGAGAGAAATACACAGAAATAAAGTACACGTGATTCGCAGATAAATCAACGGAGCTTAGAATTATCCAAATTTCAATTGTAAAATGACACAGAAATCGTACTCAACAACCCTCTTTAACACTAAAAGAACTAACCTGGTAAAAATAACCTATAAGCAACTTTCCAAAAGTGAATTTTTATGTAACTTAAAACATAACAAAAGAATTACTATCAGTGATCAGTATCAAAAATTCGCCTTATTAAATTAAAAAATTTGTCTCATATCGATGGAAATATAAATAAGAAAGTTACTTATCAATATTGAAACTTCACACTTTTTCGAAAAGTTACTAAACAGTTATTTTGACCCACCGGGTGTTTCTAATTGTTAAGAAAAATGATGATAAAGAAGACGGGAGGAAATCTGTCGATCGATAACTAGGAAAATGTTCACTTACATTGCAGCGTAAGAAGCAGTCCAACAACGACGAAATATTCGTCAATGGCGTTCCATGGGTAGAGATCACGCAAAAAAGTAGAAGATGATATATTCTAAGCATCACTGCGATTCACTTGAACTCTCAAACGTTTCCTATACTTGGGACAAAGGTGATCTTCAACATTTGCTAATGTTAATTATTGGTAAACCTTCGAGAATCAATTGTGATTCGAACCCCTTAATGTGCCGATATATCACCATCGTACCGAAAGAATTTGCCGAGAATATATCGCATAGATCAGTTGCGCGGTTGGTTCCACGGTAAATTTACAGGAAGTAGAACTCTTTCGAACATCATGTGAACGTGTTCACGTTTGAAATCGTGAAAGCCTTTTGGTTAGCAAATCAACCATATCCCCTACCACATATGGTGATATTCTACGTGTTGTGAGGAGGTTAAGAAGAGGTGGCACATCGTTTCATCTAACTCCACCTCGATCCTCCTTTTTTTATCCTAAATTTCACTGACCTACCTTCTCCAGGTAAATGGTGCGCAGGTAGTCGATATTGATTTGCAAAAGACTCCTAAAGAAAGTACAGTGTATTAGGACAGACGAGGTACAGGATAGACCTTGCATCTAACGTATTTTGGTGTCCAACGTTCTGAAATACCGATCGTGTAAAAAAGCAGAATTTGTGTTATGCACGATATAAAGCGGTGAGTTTAGGAATTAAATACATTCTAACAGTCAAAGATGGTAAAATCGACAGATGTAAAAAATCCTCTCTTGTTAAATTTGCATATAAAGATACATACATATATTGGATTGCTTGGGTGGAACTGTTTGCGATCTTTTGACAGCAGTGGAACACGCGCATGTGATGAATCATTTACTAATAAAGAATTACATTTCATAGTTACATTTAATTCTAATTTCAACCACTACTAATGTTGTAATCTTATTTTATGCTGAGTCGGTAACGTTGATAGCGATACGAAAATGGTAAGGGTCTTCTTGGCCCCGAAGCCGGGGACAAAATGTCACGTAAGATACTAGGTCTATCTTGTTCAACGTCGTATTCCTCCCTTACACACCAAATCCATTTCCTCTTGCGAAAACACATCCATTAAAAAATTAAGTAAACTAAGTCCGAATAGTGTTGGGAACGCGCAGAAATTCGCGTGAAAATCGCGAAATTCGAACTATAAATTTCGAGCGTCGAGGATATGGTCTATTTACACTCTTTAGTTTCTGAAAAAATTCGAGCATCTCAGAAATGATTAACTTGTACTGCTTGGTTCAATCGTCGAAATTTTTCAAGCGTCTAAGAAATGGCTAATATTACTACTTGTTAGAACAGACGAGATACAGAATAGCACCTAATGCGGTGAGTTTAAGAAGGACTATTTTTTCTCAAATAAAACCAACACGTGTATATACAATTTTCACGTTGTATTTATTACGTTACCAATAACAAAAAACACTACACATTGTCCTGTATAAAAAGTATAATAATAAGAGCACTAGGAGGCCACAAATAATGTAGTGGATTATCATTAGTCTTTGATACTTTCTCTTAGCAGCTGGTAATGACTCCGGTGTATCGTGTAACATTGATCGGAAACCTAGTAGAGCTGACTCTATTAATCTATACCAGTCCACTACGTTTAAATCAAACGGAAATTCTTTCAAATCGGCAGCGTTCATACGAGTTTGAACATCTTTTAGATTATCACTTTTTATGATCCAACTGGAAGATATGAAGTGCGATAAAATCCTCGAGAATTTCGTTACCCTCCATACTGCACTGATGGCCCTGTGAAAAAGAATATCACGTAACTTTTAAATATCCGAATCGATAATAAGATATTACAATTTTGTCGTTATTTCTCAAATAAACATTAAAGCAATTTAATCGAACTACCGTTTAAATCGATCTCGAAATATTCTTACTCGTGTACAGGTTTTAAATTACTTTTTGAAACTTACATTGGTGTCTTCCTTTGAGCCAGGAGAACTATATCAACGATTATAGCAGGTAAAATATGAAACAGTACGTGGAATATAACTAAAAGAGGGAAATTTGGAACATATACAAGGAATGGATACCATGCCATTTTAAGGGATGGGAATTTATACGCCGCTCTTAAAGTTGCTGCTCTTGCTAATCCGAAGGTGACAGGATTCCAGTCAGATGATGCACAATTGTACACTTGTGGTCCTTTAAATTTCCTACAGAAAATAATAGAAACATTAAGTACTTGGTAGAAATTTTAATACCATTGATATTCTTTATTAAAGGATGATATTTCATTTAACAATATTAACACTACCCGTGGATAACAGAATCCCAGATTAATGCCAGAAGA